GATTCAGAGCGATTTCGAAGCTCCGTCGCCACCGTCATCTGCACCGGCAAGGTAGTGTGCTCCACCGTCTCTCTCTCTCTCTCTCTCTAGATCTCATACTGATTGTACCTTTATAAGGGTTTCTGGCTCTGAGTTGGTTCAGAAGTATATTGGTGAGGGCTCTCGAATGGTTAGATAATTTTTTGTTATGGCCAGATTTGTCTGACTTCATTGATAACATTGTTATTGCCAAAAAATTATAATATCTTGTATATCAGGTTAATAAATCTTTTTAGTCTACAGAAGTGTTATATAGTTCCTCTTACATGTTTTAACTTGCAGTATGTGATATTCTTTTTGGAGGACTTTCTCTTTTCTTTTCTTTTTCATATTTATTTTGGTTGCATTTATGCGAGTAAGGCTATCAGTTGATGAGACTAAAATGCTGTTTTGAACTGCTTTACCTGATCAAATTTGATTGGAAGACATACTGTTGAAGTTGTATTAACAACTTTATAATTTGAGGATAAAAAAGTTAACTTCTCGAACAAATATGTGGCATTTTTTCTTTGCATCTTTTTTATTATCTCTATGTATATATGTTGCTATGTATATATATATGTATGCAGTTAGATATTGAGATTCCTTCTGAGAATTTACTTTCTTGCCCGTATGAATATGTATAAATGTTTATAATTTCAACTTTTTTTTTTTTTTTTGCTTTTCTAAAGGTACTCTTTGATTCTGAAACTGTGCGGTGGTTGAACCATGTGGTTGAAAAGATTTGGCCTGTTTGTATGGAGCCCATTGTTTCACAGAAAATTCTCCTCCCTATCATACCTTGGTTCTTGGAGAAGTACAAACCATGGACTGTGGTACGAGTCTACCCTCCTAAATACGATTAATTGCTGTCCTTGTTCCATTTTTTTGGTTCAAAATGCCTTCGTCTTTGAGGGATTCCCTATTCTACACGAACGGAAATTTTGTACAAAATTCGCATACAAATAATGCGGCTTTTTGGGGGTTATATTAATTTCAAACTAAAAAGCCCAATGTTATGACTTATAATTTGAAAAATGGCATTACTTACACCACATCATTTTGGATGAGTTTTATGTATGAAAATTGTGTTTTTAAATCATTTTTAATGTGTTGATGATTGGTTTTGAGAATTATTTGGGTATATACACAGAAAGACACTGTGGTTCAGCATCTGTATATGGGACGATCACCTCCTGTGTTCACAGAAATGAGGGTTCTTCATCAAACCACTGATGATGACCACTTGGTATGTAATATTGTCTTATTCATGGTGGATTCATGTCAATAATGTATTACTTCTAGTCATAATTTGTTTTGTAGCCAGAATAATAGTTGAAATTCATTAAATGCAGGTTTTGGAGTTGGGAATGAATTTTCGGACTGCAGATGATATGAGTGCAATACTTGCTGTGAAATTAAGTAAGAGATTGGGTTTTGGAATGCGGGAAAAGTTGCATTTGATGGGCATGCATGTTGAAGGGAAGGTAATAAATTACTGTTAAATTTAAATTTTACTTTTACATCACACATCTATAATGAGTTATCCTTTGTTATACTGTTCTTAATTTCATGTTTTCTCCCTGCATCTGAAATGTGTAATCTGTAGAGTACAGAATCGATCTAGAATGTTTTGTAATGATTTTTAAAATTGGAATAGTTGTCATGTGCCATTGATTGTGAAAAAATGACTAATGCTTAGTAATTTCTTCAGACTAATGCTTTGTAAGCTGCTGTAAATTTATGGCATGGCAGATAAATTTTATTCATATTGGTTGGGTTTTTGTTCAGATGGCAGCATTTAACATTCAGGAGGCACTTATCTGGAAAGAGAAAATTGAACTTGTCATTGATCAGGTTTATTTTCTCGGACTGCATTTCCCCCTCCGCCTCCGCCTCCCCCTCCCCTTCCCCTCTATCAAAAAAAAAAATAAAAAAAAATGAAGAAAATAATAAGGGGAAAATGTGTCTTGTTCTCTTCACATATCAGCTCATAATTCTCTTTGAAATTGTTGCCTCACTTACATCGTATTACTTCAAAGAAAAGTCAATTTTTTGGTGGACTATAGAATGGTTGCATAACCCTTTTGTGAACTCTTTTGCAATTTTGGTTTACATATTTATTTAGATGACACTTGATCATTATTTCTGCATATGGTATCATTTTGTAATCCTCTTTTCATTTTGTAAATGCATACACCTGGACCTGATTATAAAAGATGCAGCATCAGGGGTCACAAGTTCCCATTGGTAACAAATACGTATCTTTTGAATACAAATCTGGAATTGACAATGGGAGGAAATCTTCTGCATCAGATCGCGAAAGTCAGTAAGTGTCCAATTTACTTATTTGTTAGTGGTTACTATGTTGATGCTAGTGTAAATATATTCATGAAAAATACATGCACTTTGTTGTAGACTTATTTTCTCTTCCCTTTACGGCTGCTGGCCATTTTTTACCCCTGTTAAAAGTTGATTATGATAAAGGTGGTTTAAAATGACTAATGCTTAGTAATTTCTTCTAATTTTGTATGGGTAGGCTTAATCTGCTTCACCTTGCTAAGGTTTTTGAGGGCTTCTTTATGGTTTTATGTATTCTAATCGCCTTATCACAGGTTATGCATCTTGGTGCAGAGAAAGAAATGATGTCTCAGTGTGTTGCCTTGCTTGAGAAATTCATTGCTGTTCGTGAGCCAAATATTCGATATCTTGGTTTGGTAAGTTACGAGAACACAACCGTTCTTATCTCATTGATGCAACTTATGTTCAAAGCATGCCAAGATTTAGTATGCAAATGTCAGAATTTGGAAGGTTTGATCTGGTTGTTTTCATCTGGTTGCATGATTTATGGATTGATCTGATGCAGGAGACCCGGATGTTGATGGTCTCAGATGTTCAGGACATTATTAAAAGGCATCAATCACAGATCATCACCTCTTTGAAGGATCCAGATATCAGGTTAGTTTAAGTGCTTTGTAGTTTTTTGGAGATACTTTCTGCTTCTTCACCGTGAGGCACAATGATCGATTACATGGTAAGCAAAAGCAACATTAAATCTGTATTTAATATTGTACAATGCCTATGTTATGTGCATGAACTTGTTGAGAAATTTATTGCTTATCTTAGATGTGTAAAATCAGCTTGACTTGTATCGTAGATGCTGAGCTGATTATATCTTTTCCTGGCATTCTAGATTGCACTCTATAGCTCCAACAATCTAAAATGCTCACCTAAGCAAACAGTGATGCATTAATCGGGGTGCTTTTCATTATTGATTATTAATGATATTTGAGCTTCTAGGCTTAAGTGTTACCCAGTTGGACTCCCAATCTTTATGTCAGGGGCACAAGTCCCCTTGATCCTACGCATATAAAAAAATATATATATAGTCATTAGTCTAAATTCATTCGTAGTGCTAGTATGCTTGTTTATGTACCTATAATTTACTGACAATAATTTAACCCTCATAGTATTCGGAGGCGTGCTCTTGCTCTGCTCCATGGCATGTGTGATGTTTCAAATGCAAAGGACATAGTTGAAGAATTATTGCAGGTACCATATTGCTGTTCACAAGCAGTTAACTGTCTTCTTTTGCAATTTTGGTTTACATATTTATTTAGATGACACCTGATTGTTAGTTCTGCATATGGTATAGTTTTGTAATCCTCTTTTCATTTTGTAAATGCATACACCTGGACCTGATTATAAAAGATGCAGCATCAGGGGTCACAAGTTCCCAATGGTAACAAATATGTATCTTTTGAATACAAATCTGGAATTGACAATGGGAGGAAATCTTCTACATCAGATCGCGAAAGTCAGTAAGTGTCCAATTTACTTATTTGTTAGTGGTTACTATGTTGATGCTAGTGTAAATATATTCATGAAAAATATGTGCACTTTGTTGTAGACTTATTTTCTCTTCCCTTTACGGCTGCTGGCCATTTTTTACCCCTGTTAAAAGTTGATTATGATAAAGGTGGTTTAAAATGACTAATGCTTAGTAATTTCTTCAGACTAATGCTTTGTAAGCTGCTGTAAATTTATGGCATGGCAGATAAATTTTATTCATATTGGTTGGGTTTTTGTTCAGATGGCAGCATTTAACATTCAGGAGGCACTTATCTGGAAAGAGAAAATTGAACTTGTCATTGATCAGGTTTATTTTCTCGGACTGCATTTCCCCCTCCGCCTCCGCCTCCCCCTCCCCTTTCTCTCTATCAAAAAAAAAATAAAAAAAAATGAAGAAAATAATAAGGGGAAAATGTGTCTTGTTCTCTTCACATATTAGCTAATAATTCTCTTTGAAATTGTTGCCTCACTTACATCGTATTACTTCAATGAAAAGTCAATTTTTTGGTGAACTATAGAATGGTTGCATAACCCTTTTGTGAACTCTTTTGCAATTTTGGTTTACATATTTATTTAGATGACACCTGATTGTTAGTTCTGCATATGGTATAGTTTTGTAATCCTCTTTTCATTTTGTAAATGCATACACCTGGACCTGATTATAAAAGATGCAGCATCAGGGGTCACAAGTTCCCAATGGTAACAAATATGTATCTTTTGAATACAAATCTGGAATTGACAATGGGAGGAAATCTTCTACATCAGATCGCGAAAGTCAGTAAGTGTCCAATTTACTTATTTGTTAGTGGTTACTATGTTGATGCTAGTGTAAATATATTCATGAAAAATATGTGCACTTTGTTGTAGACTTATTTTCTCTTCCCTTTACGGCTGCTGGCCATTTTTTACCCCTGTTAAAAGTTGATTATGATAAAGGTGGTTTAAAATGACTAATGCTTAGTAATTTCTTCTAATTTTGTATGGGTAGGCTTAATCTGCTTCACCTTGCTAAGGTTTTTGAGGGCTTCTTTATGGTTTTATGTGTTCTAATCGCCTTATCACATGTTATGCATCTTGGTGCTGAGAAAGAAATGATGTCTCAGTGTGTTGCCTTGCTTGGGAAATTCATTGCTGTTCGTGAACCAAATATTCGATATCTTGGTTTGGTAAGTTACGGGAACACAACAGTTCTTATCTCATTGATGCAACTTATGTTCAAAGCATGCCAAGTTGTAGTATGCAAATGTCAGAATTTGGAAGGTTTGATCTGGTTGTTTTTATCTGGTTGCATGATTTATGGATTGATCTGATGCAGGAGACTCGGATGTTGATGGTCTCAGATGTTCAGGACATTATTAAAAGGCATCAATCACAGATCATCACCTCCTTGAAGGATCCAGATATCAGGTTAGTTTAAGTGCTTTGTAATTTTTTGGAGATACTTTCTGCTTCTTCACCATGAGGCACAATGATCGATTACATGGTAAGCAAAAGCAACATTAAATCTGTATTTAATATTGTACAATGCCTATGTTATGTGCATGAACTTGTTGAGAAATTTATTGCTTATCTTAGATGTGTAAAATCAGCTTGACTTGTATCGTAGATGCTGAGCTGATTATATCTTTTCCTGGCATTCTAGATTGCACTCTGTAGCTCCAACAATCTAAAATGCTCACCATTATTGATTATTAATGATATTTGAGCTTCTAGGCTTAAGTGTTACCCAGTTGGACTCCCAATCTTTATGTCAGGGGCACAAGTCCCCTTGATCCTGCGCATATAAAAAAATATATATATAGTCATTAGTCTAAATTCATTCGTAGTGCTAGTATGCTTGTTTATGTACCTATAATTTACTGACAATGATTTAACCCTCATAGTATTCGGAGACGTGCTCTTGCTCTGCTCTATGGCATGTGTGATGTTTCAAATGCAAAGGACATAGTTGAAGAATTATTGCAGGTACCATATTGCTGTTCACAAGCAATTAACTGTCTTTGATTTCAGTTGACATTTACTTAAAATATATATAGTTGGCCGCAAATAATTCTAAAAAAGTTCCTAACCAAAACACAACAAACATGTCACTGACAATTTTTTTAGAAAGAATAGTGTTTGCCGAATTGGAGAGCATCATTAATTATTTTTTTTTATTGTCAATTAAAGGTCTAGATTTGTTCATCATAGACCTATTCAACATTGGCCTAGATTTTTGGTTGGATTCAAATTTGAATTTGTATGTGATGGTAAATCTCAATTTGATAAGGTTATACACATTCTAAAAGAAAAAATATGTTAATGACCCTTCGGAAGTCTTGCCTAATTTGATGAGTGCGATTTAGATCAAATGGCCTCTAAATTTGTTTTTGCTATGAGAGCATTAATTTTACATGATTCTCATATGTGTCTGTATTGTCTTTGGGTGTGCCCGTTTCTATATATGTATTTAGTACTTCTTGGTATGTGATGAAATCTTCTTGTTAGTGCTTCTTCAAGTTTTAAGTACTTTTTATAAGTATTGGGTACAAATTCTTCAATTTGTGTTTATTTTGGTGAATTCTGATTGTAGTTTATGTTCTGATGCATGCATGTAGACCAGTGAAGGCTACAACTTTAATGCTAAGACATGATTTTTGGATATATGTTAGTTTGTGGTTAATGTTAAGACATGATTTTTGAATTTTGGATATGTTAATTTTGTGGGTAATGGTGATTAGATATTAATTGAATAAGAAAGTGAATTAATGCTTCATTACAGCTATTTGAATGAGAGTTATTATTTTATATTAGTGCTATTACAGGTATTTTTGTAGTTCAATCAAATAAAATAAGCACAATTTCAAAAAAAAGAAAAGAAAAGGGATATGACGGCTTTTCTACAAACGCCTCTTAAACCCTACTCACTAACGGTCATATTTTTAAGAAAAGATATGGCGGCATTTTTTCAAAACGTCGCTAAATATCGTCAGTGACGTCAGCTTGTGTTTAGTAGGACATTTGGCGGCGCCTATACCAATATCACGACGTTTTTAAAACGCCACAAAGCTATAGTGACGGCCGCATCCTCGGCGTTTGGTGCTAAGCGTCGCAAAAGGAATTGGCGGCGTTTGTCACTTATAGCGGCGTTTTTTAAACGCCACTAAAAATATGTTTTCCAACAGTGAGGTTACATGGCTCCTAAATGGGTTTTCAATCTCCCAATTACTTCCAAAGTTGATGTTTATAGCTATGGGATTGTTGTGTTGGAGATGATCACAGGAAGGAGCCCAACGGGAGTCCGCGACGCTATTGAGGGTGAAGAAGAGAAGGGGTGTGAAAGATTAGAAACTTGGGTGAGGAAGAACATGAATGGTTCAGAGGCATTGTGGATTGAAGAAATAATAAACCCTGTCATGATGGGGGGATGTGAGAGGAGTAAGATGGAAAATCTGGTTAGGGTGGTTGTGCAATGTGTGGAGGCAGGTACAGATGCTAGACCCACCATGAGAGAGGTGGTGGAGATGCTTTTGGGCCATGAGGATAGCCATGACACCGCCTAGTGAGGTAATACACTTGGTTGAATTTGCACTCTTATGTCCTTGATTTGTTTGTTTTCAGCCTTTTATTTTCATTTCCTACAATAATTCCCGTGTTTACAATTAATAAAAGTAAATTATATTTTCTCATTTGATGATTAAAAAAAAAATTGATATATAGCAATCCTCAATTAAAAAATACATATATAATTTTAACCATAATAATCAATGACCATGAGTAAAATTATTTAGCAGTTTAGAATCCCTACATCAATTTTGATTTGAAATCATTATAATTGAATATACCAAAAAATAAAAATAAAAAGAGTACAAAATGTTTTAATTTTTCACATTTTTGAAGATGTGAATTCTAATAAAATAGGATTTTTGATCTTGCTTTTTTAAAAGAATATTATTTTTATTTATTAATAACATCTCCGATATGTGCTCGAGATAAAAATTGATGTGAGGAACCCGAATACTGAATAATTTTTCCAATGACTAGTTAATAGAGGTCACTTATAGAATAGGCCGATCATATTAAAATTAGTCCATATTATTTTTTAAGGTGATGCTTTGTAACTCTTTTCATTTAATAAATGAAAAATTTTAAATGCATGAAATCATACACAATTATCTCATCTAAGATGAGTAGTCCCATTAAATGTGTGAAATCTATTTTATGTGAGAGACGAATTCAATAATAAGATCAGGGCATTGCATCAAACTAGATAAAATTTAGTCAAATTTTGACTGAAAAACTTTCTATTTTAGTTGGCTATGTTTTTGAATGTCTTCTGCAGTAAACTCTTTATTTTTTTTTCTATTTTATTTAAAAAAATCTTTACTTTTTTTTTAATACTATTGTCAATTATCATAATTTTTAAATAATCACTTTTTGGGACAATCATCTTTTATAATAGTAATATGGGACATTTACACACAAGTTCTAATTTATGAACTTATACTTCATTAAATCTTAACTAAGATTTTTTAGACCTTCAACTCTCATTAAATTTTTAATAATCAGAATTATCCTTCAAATAATAATTGTTCATTATTTATGATTATCTATAAAGGAACAAGATGATTTGACATTTATTTTGATTTTCAAAATTTTAAAATATCAACTTTCAAATTGAAAAAACTAAAAAAAAATGTGCCAAAAAAAAAATTTAATCAGTGTGTTCGGTTTGAGTTTTTTGGATTAAGTTTTTTGAAAATTGAGTTTTTTGATTTTCGTATTTTTTTTTTGTTTTTAGTGAATATTTTTAAAATTTTAATTTTTTTTTTTTTACTTTTTTAGATGCACCTTGCTTAAATGTATCTAAAAAGTAAAAAATTTGTAAAAAAATATTTAAAAAAAATTAATAAATACATAAAAATACAAAAAATGTACTGAATTCTTGTATTTTTGGTATTTAGTGAATTTTTAAAAGATTTTTTTACAATTTTTTTACTTTTTAGGTATATTTATGTTAGGTGTGTCTAAAAAGTAAAAAAATTTCTTAAAATATTAAAAAAAATTCAGTAAAAACAAAAAAACACGAAAAATAAGAAAGTAAAATTTTCTGAAAAGTGTTTTTTGAAAAATGAAAACAAGCAAGCTGATTGTTTTTTTTTTGTTGAAAAAACTGAATTATTTTTTGTACAAAATGGAAAATTTTGTGTCTATAAAGGAGTATGATGTTGGAACATTGATGTGCAAAATTGAATAAAAAAACTTTAAAAATGAAAAAATTGATAATGTTTTTAGTTTTAAAATTAAAAAAAAAAACTGATAATGTTCTCGGTTTCATTAGATAGTTGAATCAAACCAATAAGTAGAAGAACAAAAATGTTTAATCTCATAATCTATTTTTTTCGTCAGTTAGTGTAACAATTATCTGGAACATTAATATGCAAAATTGATAATGCTCTTAATTTTAAAAATTGGAAAAAAACTAATAATATTATCAGTTTTATTAAATAGGACTTACTGGTTCAAAAAATATTAGATCTGATCTGAACTACCATAATATTTGTGAACATGACTTTTAGGTAATTAACTTTAGTAATATTTTAACAGTCACGTGTTTTAAATAGTGGATGCGGGGTCCCTGCTGTGCGCCTAAGCACAGCAGGGTTGCTGTGAGTGAATACGGCACCATATTGAGATTTGTTGAGTCATTTCACATGCGCAAGGCAGCACACCATGATTTTATTTTATTCAATATTTGTTTGGTTAATTAAAAGGACTTTCCTTAGGTGTTCCTTGCATATGGTATGCAAGGCATTTACCCATTTTCTATTTTGCATTTACACCTTTTATGTATTGAGTTAGATGACATTTTTTGAAAGTTTACACATTGGTGACCTGCTAAATGGGTCCTTTGCAGGTAAATTAATTAAATAATATAATATATTAATAATTTCACAAAAGGGTGTAAACTTTCAGAAAATGGTGCAAGTGTTTTGACGAAAAGGTATAAACTTTCAGAAATGGGTGTAAACTTTCACAAAATGGTGTAAGGTATAAACTTGCAGGAAAAGGTGTAAACCTTCAGAAAATGGTGCAAGTGTTTTGACGAAAAGGTATAAACTTTTAGAAATGGGTGTAAACTTTCACAAAATGGTGTAAGTATTTTGACGAAAAGGTATAAGTTTAGAAAAATTTTCAGAAAAGGTGTAATGTTTCAGAAAAAGTGTAAAATTTAGTTTAGTGTAAATTTTATCGACAAATAACAGTTTAGTCGCTAAAGGTTTGAAATTTTATTACCATCGGCTCCCCTCTTCTCTGTTTCCCATCAACACTTTCTCTGTTCTCTCTCACACGCACACAAAATAGTCACCACCAATCCTGACCCCCGCTGACCACCCAAGCGTTAGTGGCCTCCGGTGCTCACTGCCATCTGACATCGCCACCTCCACGGCGACTGCTACTGCTACTGCCACCGCCGCTGCCACAAATCAAAGGTTTTTTTCTCTTTCGCTTTCGATCTTGGTCTCTCTCTGTCGATGTCGGCCTATTCTCCATCGATGTCGGTCTCTCTCTGTCAATCCCTGTCTATCTCGGTCAGTCTCCAGCGATCTTGGTCTGTCTCCATGTCGGTCTCTTCTCTGTCGATCTCAGTCTGGCTGTCTCTGTCGATCACTGTCCATCTAGGTCTCTATGTCTGTCGATCTTAGCTATCTCTCTCTCTCTGTCTGTCCCTTACTCTATATTAAAAACGGTTCTCTTTTACATTGACATACTTGGTTGGATTTGGACTTGGAGTCGCTATTCCATGCCCTCCCAAACTCGTCTTCTCTGGAATGGACTTGTACTGAGAGAAAGACCAAGCCCTCCGAAACGCCCTTCTCTCTCACATTGCCATTATTTGAACAAGACAAATACAGTTTGATTGGATTTTAGGAACTTACACGTTTTGTGAAAAAACGAAACTTACACGTTTTGCTAAGTTACTTACATCTCTTATGAAAACACTTACACTATTTGTGGAAGGTTACACATTTTTGAAATAATTTATTTTGTAAAATTTACACCTTTTCGTTGAAATACTTACACCCTTTATGAGAAGTTATACTTTTGTAAAGAATGTTATTAAATAAATTTACACCTTTCATGGAAAAAATATTTGCGTAAAATTTATACCTTTTGTTAAAAACATAAACCTTTTCTGAATGATTACACCTTTTTGTGAAAACACTTACATTATTTGTGGAAGGTTACACTTTTGTGAAATAATTTATTTTGTAAAATTTACACATTTTCGTTGAAATACTTACACCATTTATGAGAAGTTACTACTTTTGTAAAGAATGTTATTAAAAAAATTTACACCTATCATGGAAAAAATATTTGCATAAAATTTATACCTTTTGTTAAAAACATAAACTTTTTCTGAATGGTTACACCTTTTTGTGAAAACACTCACACTATTTGTGGAAGGTTGCACATTTGTGAAATAATTTATTTTGTGAAATAATTTATTTTATAAAATTTACACATTTTCGTTGAAATACTTACACCCTTTGTGAGAAGTTACTACTTTTGTAAAGAATGTTATTAAAAAAATTTACACATTTCATGGAAAAAATATTTGCGTAAAATTTATACCTTTTGTTAAAAACATAAACCTTTTCTGAATGGTTACACCTTTTTGTGGGAATACTTACACATTTTCTGAATGGTTACTGCTTTTGTGAATAACTTTTTTCATAAAATTTACACTTTTTATGGGATATTACACCTTTTTTGCCAGGAAAACTTACACTTTTTTTAAAAATTTACACATTCTATGGAAAATATGTTTTCATCAAGTGTACACCTTATTTTAAAAACTTACACATCTTCTGAAAAGGTAGTCCATTTGTGAAACAAATTTTTTTTTTAAATTTACCCCTTTTAATAGGAGTTACATCTTTGGTGAAGACAATTACACATTTTTTGAAAATTTACACGTTTTATGGAAAATATGCTTTGATAAAGTTTGTTAAAAGAAATTATTTGACAAAACGTATAACCTTTTCAAATATTGTGTATGTTTTTCCGAAGAAGGTGTGAATGACCTTAGAAAAGATGTAAGTTATGTCTTTCACTAAAGGTGTAACTTCAAATAATAAGTTTAAATTTTATGAAAAAAGTTTTTCCACAAAATTTGTAATTTTTCAAAGAAGTTGTAAATATTTCCACAAAAAGGTGTAAATTTTTAGAAAATGTGTAAAATTAAGGAATAGGTGTAAACTTTGTGAGACAATCAAGCTGAATGTTTTGTGTTTACAAAAGATATAAGTTCCCAAAGAAGCTCTAACTTTTATCGATGACTTATACGTTGAAAATTTTATCACCACCGACCACGCAACCGTCGCGGGCCACCGTTGCCCACCGCTGACTGACATTGCCACTGCTACCGCCGCTAGTGCAAATCAAAGGATTTTTCTGTCTCTATCGATCTTGGTCTCTCTTTGTCCATCTCGGGCTCTTCTCTGTCGATGTCGGTCTCTCTCTCTCTGTCTGCCGATCTTTGTCTGTATCGATCTTG